GCGATATAAATTACACTTCATTAAACTCTATAGCTTTCGGATCGCGTACTGCGGCGTTAAACAGCAGTTATCAAAACATAACACCAAAACATAACAGCTTCATTAAACTCTGATTGGACATTTCCACCATCAAATTCAACAACACATTGTACACTATCATGATACTCCGCCACAGCCTTCTGGACGAACGCCATCGAGAGATTCTGCCACGCGACCGTGATTCGGTGCCTGAGTTCAGCGAGGTCGTTGATTTCTCCGCCACTGTAGACCACCCTGTTGAGCTCCGCTCGGACCCGGTAATCGAGGGGTTTAGGTCAGGTGACCAACTTCAGGTACTCAACGCCCTTCCATTCCAAGTAGGCGAGAGTTTTTCCAACGCCCTTCGATTCCATGTGGTCACCCAATCCTGTAGCAGTACGAAGTTTCCAAGATGGTACAGGCGACGACATGAAGGCAGGATATTCTCCTCGAGTTGTCGATGTAACCGTCAGCGTTCACTTTCAGTCCGGGGTCCACGAAGAATATCGGATCTTCCCATTCCAGGAACAACTTCCGGTCCATACCATCAACCCGCGCCTTGGCGACTGTGGTGAAGATGATGTCCTAGACCGTAGCGACGTTGTCGGAGCTGCTCGATGTTGGAGGTCTTCCAGATCGAGAGTACTGGTCTCCAGGTAGCTATCCATGGGTGACTCCATACTAGAAGTTTCGCAGCTGTTTGGAGGTGACGTGAATTCCATAGGCCTTCTCCAGTCCGGCTGCGATTGGAGATGGCTTCATATTTTGTGTACATGAAGGTGATGGACGAGAGCCTGCTCCTGCTTATCGAGGAACATCTTGGGTATCTTCCGCCCTGGTACTCGTATCCACGTCTTCTCTCTGGGCTGCGTAAACTTTACTGATATGTGACCCGGCCAAAGGTCTTTTTTGGCCCCCTGTACATTTTGGCTCCGAGTCGCGGGATCGCAGGCTTTCCTAGCGCAGACACAAAGAGAACCTCGATAACTGAAGATAAGATACGTATCGAATTTTCTGGATTGGCGTTCGCCATTGCTGCGAAATATGAACGTTCTGCTTTCAGGGGTCCACTATACATCCCGGCAGTGAGAATTTTTGCAGAATGCGACTTTCCTCTCTCAAGTTTTTTCGTCCGCTCCAACCGCATGCTATACCCCTCTCACACCCTACCTAAGCTTTTGCAAACCTTTCCCAATAGTTGTTTAGCGCTATAGCACTAACTAGAGAAGGAGGGGTACGGCGCACCTGCAACGAGAGAACTTAATAATCGGGAAATTTTTCTTCTCAGCCTTGATGCGACCCATCCCCTCTAGCGACACAAGTGCGACCCCTTTGGAGATAACCTCATAACGGCTCTCATACTAAATCGATACATTGGTATTATTCGAGAATCGAGTAGGTGCTACCGACCGACCCCCTGATCGTTGCAGCGGTCCGCGATGGAGCGCGGTCGGTCGCAATCGCGCGACTAAATCGCTTGAGACGCGGAGTATGAAAAAATAAATGCAAAGTAAAGAGAAAATTGAAAGTGAAGAAGAAAAATGAGGCAAAATGAAAATGAATGCGACATTGAAAACTAACGAGAATAAGCGAAAGTGATATCGTTTGACTTCGGAAAAAGCCAATGCAGGACGTCCTTCAGATTTTTTGAGGTCAGTTTTGTTCCTGAATTCATATTTAGCGGAACCACAGTGTACTGTACGAATAGTAGACACTAACGCTTGTTGCATGTCACGATTATCTACTTCTACGTAATAATGGGTTTTTGTTTTGGTTTAAACTAACACAAACAAGGATTATTTGATGAGCGAATTCTACAGTCTCAAGTAACCTTGGTCACAATTCCCCGATTATCGGATGGACGACGAAATGGTGGAACCGTAACTACTGCGCTTTCATCATTTCTGCCCTCGTTTCCCGCGTAGGTACGATGAAGGGGCACGTAGGAAGCTCAGGAAAAATGTTTCTGTGATGTCACTCTGTGTAGTGCTGACAGGGTTTATGGAGCGTTGGAAGATGAGATGGAAACCAAAAAGCAAAACAACGGGTTACCCCCTCCCCCCTCCCCGGACCGAATACTGAAACATTTCGACGCGTAGATAACATTCTGTTGCACTGGAACAGCCTGCATTATTTGCTGTTTCACTCGGTAGAAGCGCATCGTAAGAACTACATAGCAAATGCCTCCATCTCATCTGCCCTCAATGTGGACTTGACGGTCTACACACCTCTTAGACTCGGCCGTTTAAACCGCACCAAAATCCTCCATCAACAGATCTGAGGCGCGGCTTAGCGCGCAAACCACCTTGGATTGCTAGCTAGTTGACTCGAAACTGCAGTTCGGCCTTAAATCGTTTTCCCACGGCGCACGTCCATATTATCACGTATTTGACGGCCTTGTCTCGGAGATTTCCACGGCCTAGTCGACCAGTTGCGTTCCTCTACCTCAAGTTCTGGGGATCGTTAAATAAATGAATGACATTACATAATCAAGACCACAAAATGACGGACGACCTGAAAGTTGTCAAATCTCCGAATGAGAATTAAGCACTCCTGCTTTATTTTTTTGGAACAAGGCCGATGAAATGGGACTGTCACAAGAGCGTACAGAGACGAACCCATCTTGATTTCACGTCATTAGTGGCTGTCGGGTCAACTAGCCTACGCACTGCTTTTATTGTGCGCAATGCCACTCAGTGAATGTCCTGAGTTTCATCCACATTGCAGAGCATTTGGTGGGGGTTTGATTTCTTGTAAATATTTGCTTTTGCACGTCAAACGACATAAGTAATAATAAAAGGTGATGTCGAATATTTAGTTATTTCTGCCAAACGAGGTTATTAGATAGAACCTTTTATTGGCCCGACGTTTCGACCTTCTCGTCTTCTTCAGAGGCCGAGGTTCCACCGTGCGGAGCCTAGCTCACGCTATGTGTCAGTAGTGTAAGTAAGACGAAAATTTCGCTTTTTTGATCGCCTGATACCTCTTTACTAGAGGAAACTCCTCAGGCAATTGCCTGATGAAACGATAGCTTGGTAAGATTGGGCGTTAAGCAATCATCAGATCTCAAGCAATAAATCATCTAGGAAAGTCAGCTTCTAGAATCTTTGAGCATGGCTCGTCGTCGTTCAGTCTTGTTGGCTGTGGGTAAGGGTAAAGGGGCTCGTCAGTGCGGTATCAGTCCGGCCCTGTTGCCATACACCGTTCATCCACACTTGTTCAAGCGAGAAAGCGATAACACTATCGTTCGCATCAGTCGTTCTTCTCCAATTGTTGTCGTTTACCCACCTCAACAACTGATAGAGAACTGGTTTGGTGCCGTTACCAAACCCATCCGACCTAACATGCACTTCATCCGCATGGCGAGCAAAAGACTATGCATCGGGGATACCAAGCAGAGGGGGAGTCTTGGGTCGGAGGAACGGGACGGTCATATTTGCAAAATTTTTCGCCAGAGGCAGCACGTACCCTGTCTCTGAACTTTGACAGCCTTCTCGCTCTTTCGTCTGCTGTCTTGTCATGTGGAGCGCCAGAGACGCAGACGGAAAAATTATCCAGACGTCCGTGCATAAGCGGGGGGGATTCATGATGAAACTGGAAGTTGTTTGTTTTCATGATTCTATCTTAGTTTTCAGTCAGATGTTAATGAATATGTTTAGTTTATACTTGCAACTATAAACCTGTGAAACATTGGTTATTATTGTTCGGTTGGAATATATGGGGAACAGTTTCTAACTGGAACATTTAATTCCGTCAAAACTTGTACCTAATCTCAAAATGCCGTTATGAAAACCGAGTTAGCCTGAAAAATGTTTCTCATTCCTGTTCAGTACTTGGCTATATGGAATGATAACGCTCAGCAGGACCGGTATCCCGTCGAAACGATGCGCTGCTCTTATACTTAATCACGTGAGTGCCCTCATAGATAATTCTGAATATGATGTGATAGCTTCAATGATGTTTTTTGAGTAATATGAATAGTAGTGGGAACATTTTACAATGAACTTGTTCCCTATCAATCGAATATAATGACCTCGATGTTATCCTTTCTGAGATCCGTCCCATAGGCAGTAATTTGCCCTTATTAGGGATTTTTTAATTAAGGGTTCGCCTAGCTAACTGGGTCTATAAAATATAAACCCGTTCAGGTTGCCTCTCTTTCTATATGCTCTTCAAATGTTCAATTCAAACGCTTTACACCTCAGCGAATTAGGATATCATCAGAATGTAAGCGTTTTGTTGCCGCCTATTCTTGCCCTTTTTTTCTAGTCCAGAAAAAAAAACACTGATTTTCAGCAGTACTATTGAAGCGGGAGTTCCACTCTAGTCGGCCATCAAACAAGGAAGATTACTATTAAAACACTCGGTTGTAAAAAAGATGCACGGCTAAGGACGATCAAGAAGGCATACTTTCTTGAGCTAATTTTTTGATCTTGGGGAACTTTGCCAAGTACACTTTCTCGGAATGAATAGGCGTCCGATGTGTCCGTATCTCCAGTGGCGCGCCGCCAAACCAATGTCTATGAGTTATTGAAGCGGGTAAGTGACAACAACTGGTGGGGAACGACGAACATTATGATACTCGTCACTTGGCGAAAGAAAAAGGAAAAAAATGGGTTGATGCCGCGCCATGCACTGTCGCGCCCACACGCCCCATCATCCGCAGCGAAGAAGACTTACAGAAGTAAGGCTTCCATCAAAACCGTAAAGATCAAGTTTGAAGAAGCTTGCTTAACTCTCACCATCTCTTTTTACATCTTTACTTTGAGTCAAAAAGGGCAACTAGCTACCTAATTCTTTCGCTATTCCAAAAAAGGTGGGCGTTGAAGAGATTTCTTTGCAGATTATCGTAAGACAAATGCTTTTTAGCAGAAGGGAATACTTCGTCCATCCTGGAGCTCTTTCTCGGCTTGCCTTGAAAATCCACTTCCTGCGGCTTACACCAACTGCTGCACCAATTTCCTCACTTCACCCGAACAGCGACGCAGTTCAGCCACTGATTGGTGGAGGAAGGCACATATTGCGATCTGTAGTGAAAGTATAGAATGTACTGGTTTTATTCCATTCCTACAGATTGAAATCAACCCATCCATCCCAGAGCTCCCTCCCCTAGGCTTAGGCACAAATCCTCATCTACATCACAACGATCCCTTTTTTGCAGTTGTTCAGTTCAGTTGAGGTTGTCTAAGTGCCCTTCCCTAACGTCGTACTCCTGGCAAACACTCGTTTTTTTCACCTTTCTACTTTGAAGCCATTTAACATTAAAAAAAACCAAGCAGAATGGCGTGGAATTCAAGCCAGTACCGTTTCGAAGCTCCTCTCAGCCCAGCTGCGCCATAGCACCTCGTTTGTTGTCTGCCACTCCAAAGGCTCTCATGAAAGCTACGCTCTTCAAAGTTTTATATAGAAAGATGTTTTCATATTTATGTCTCTGTTTTTCAGCTCGCCAAGAAATACCATCCAGATGTCAATAAGACCAAAGAAGCACAAGAGAAATTTCAAGAGATCTCAGAGGCGTACGAGGTAAACATTTAGTTCCTTATTTCAACTATCAAAATAAAACTCCAATAAAAAGCGGTACAATATTGTGCGCTTCCTTTTTAACGTCATGACATCTCTATCGTTCAGGTGTTGAGTGACGACAACAAGCGGCAAGAATACGACACGTTTGGATCAAGTTCGTCAGCAGCTGGAGGTGCTGGTAGGGGACCTCATGAATGGCAGTACAAGAGCACTGTCGATGTTAATGAGATCTTCCGACGTGCCTTTGGCTTCGGCGGGGTGAGGAAATCTAGTATTCATTTGAGCTTGTCGAGTACTAGCCGTTTATTTCTCTCATCTGAGATCTCCATTCTATACGAAGTACTGTAATCGATGTTTTACAGCTTAATAAGCTCTCTTTAGCCTTAAAGAACACATGGTACGCCTCAACACATTGAGGGTGTATGAGACTATCAGCCCCCAGCTGTCGATGTGTCGTGGTCCCCCCGCCCAAAACTGCACGGGGTCAGAGTACGGGGCCGTGGGAAAGTCGTAATTCCTTGCTACGCCGCCCGTTTCGCAAACTCACGTTTTAATATACATCACGTAGCGCGGCGCGGTCGCGTGCAGTCTCTTGGCTTTTTGCCAGGGCGCGGCGCGGTCGCGTGCAGCTCTATTGGCTTTTTGCCAATTCCTGCAATTGCGCTTCGGAATACAAGAAAAACGCAATTTCTTAATGCAGGTAACATTATAGGTGCTGCAAAATGAGGACCGGAGATGATGACGTGAGGTAGAGTTCTAAGCAACTGCGCGGTTCCTGCAGCGTTCCTCTGAGACCGCACATTCCCACAGAACAAGACAATAAAAACGGACAACGTGAAAATAAAACACGACAGTACAAGTAAACGCATTTCTTAATGCAGTAAACATTATAGGTGCGGCAAAATAAGGAGCCGGAGAATGACGTCGAAGGGTAGAGTGTTTCTGAGCAACGCTGCTGCTTCCTGCAAATATTCCGTCGGGGCCCGCCGCTTTCACAAACCTGAAACATAACAAGGGCTAAGGCGCGGTTCACTTACATGATGCAGAAATGCCGAACCACGGAATGTGCAGAACTGCGAGAAATTGCAGAACAAGAAATATGTCTATCGATTTCAAAAACCATGGAATATGCAGAAGTGCGGAATTTGCAGAAATGCCGATGGACCGATCGATCCCTATCGCTTCTTTGTCCGCAATTTCTGCATGTCGGCAAATTCCGCACGACGGCAGGGAAGAACCAGTCGATCCCTATCAATTCTTTGTCTGCAATTTCTGCATGTCGGCAAATTCCGCGGAATTTGAAGAAATGCAGTTTTCAGATCGATACGTATATATTTCCTTTCTGCAAATTCCGCAGTTCTGCATATTCCGCATTTCTGCATCGTGTATGAACGCGGCCTAAGCGCCCCACTTGTTTCAAGTATTTTGATAGCTTTGGAGTCGGATTCGAGCCGGATCGAGAAATTCACACGCGATTTGAACTAATTTTCGTTTCTTTAGTTTTTTCAATATTGTTTTATTTACATCTTCACTGGTTGTTCTTCATTTCTAGCCTTTGTTATCTTCACCACCCTCTTTCGGAGTTTGAACACCGCAACACCTCAAATGTTAGTAAATTGCGTTTTGCTTGTACTGGTCGTGTTTATTTAACGTGTCCAGTTTTATTGTCTTGTTCTGTGGGACATTGGCGTCTCTCTCAGAGGAACGCTGCAGGAACCGCGCAGTTGCTTTAGAACTCTACCTCACGTCATCATCTCCGGTCCTTCATTTTGCAGCACCTATAATGTTACCTGCATTAAGAAATTGCGTTTTTCTTGTATTCCGAAGCGCAATTGCAGGAATTGGCAAAAAGCCAATAGAGCTGCACGCGACCGCGCCGCGCCCTGGCAAAAAGCCAAGAGACTGCACGCGACCGCGCCGCGCCCTGGCAAAAAGCCAAGAGACTGCACGCGACCGCGCCGCGCTGACGGTGGAAGTATAAACGTGAGCTTGCGAAATGGGCGGCGTAGCAAGGAGTTACGACTTTCCCACGGCCCGTACCCTGACCCCGTGCAGTTTTGGGCGGGGGGACCACGACACATCGACAGCTGGGG